AGAATTGCCTCTGGAACTGGCAACGCGCTATCCCCTCGTTCATAATCCCATACAGTCTCGTTCGCTGCGAACGCTGAGACGTTTAGGGGCGGAGGACGGGTTGGGTCTGGCGCAGATTGTTCTCTTCCATGGGGGGGGGGATCTGGCGGGCGACCAGAATTGGAAGGAAAACAAGTTGGCACCGCGCCAAATCGAGCCCACTTAAACGTCGAGCGTCAGCAGTGAGCAAAACTGTATGTACATTGCAAAATCTGTTTGCCATTGGCCTTTGTGGCGTAACTCACGTCACTTGTCGGAAATGAGTCTGCTGATACAAAATACTTCGTTAAAATTTTGTTTTCTTCAGCAGAAAGTGAATTCTCGAGTAACTGGTTTCTTTTGAGCTTCTCAAGTACCTCCACTGCTAGTTTTATGTGCGATTCGGGCTGGAAGCATTTGAATTGATCTTCAATGGTTGTGAACTATTGCAGTTTCTCTTTAGTCATCCCGCGGGTCAGCAGAGCGATGTAGTCAGCAATGTTCGGCACTACTTACCCTCTAGCTCCCCAGTTTTATAGATTCGGGTCGGAACTTCGACTTGTGTGGAAGTCGGTCCCCAGGTGTGGTGGTCTCCAGTACACCTCCTTTTGTATTTCGAACAAGTACGACGTAAAGCAACGTTTAGACTCAACGCGGCGTTGCTGCGCTGCAATTACAACAGTGCTCCTTGGCCATAAACCGAACGCAGCTGCAGACAGCCAGCGCCGATCGATTCCCGTCCGCGAAGGCTCGACTGATGGGCGCCGGCCTGAGCCTCGAGAGTATGGAGAAAGAGGATTGAGGGTGAGATTCGAGACATGAGCTGCCTGCGCCCATCGACCGAGCCTTTGCGGACGGGAATTGATCGGCGCCGGCCGTCTGAAGCTGCGTTTGCCTTATAGCTTGGAGCACCGTTGTAATTGCAGCGCAGCAACGCGCTTTGCTGCGCTGTACATTGCGTTAAGTGTGAACGCCGCCTAACACGAGAAATATGTTGCAATCGAAAGAACAAGAAAGAGGGGTATCCGAGATCCAACTTCAAGATACTCTATCGAGTTAAGCTCCACAGAGTTCCCGCGTAAAGCGCAAGAGGGTTACGCCAGCCGAACTTTCCAATTGACTTTTCCTCAAACTGAGGACAAGATGATGGACTGATGTTCAAAGCGTCACAAAACGCACAAATTCGCTATCATAATCATCTGGAGGAAGTTGTGAGATTCTTCCTGGTTTATACTTTCTTAATTCATTATCCTGCTTCTTTAGCAACGACCTTAGGAACGCTATCTTCTGAAATGAAATGCTTACATGACTTTAATGAATGCAACTAATACAACCAACCTGGGTGCTAGCGTATTGGGGGAAACCACGGGGCTCGCGGCGAGCGACGATTAATCTGCTCTTCTGCCCCTCTTCGGCGAAATAGAAGTAATTTGATTTTTATGACATGAATATGACAGTGCTCTAGGGTGCTTTATTCAGAAGGTAAGACAGTAAACGCTGAAAAGTGCGAAGAAACTACTGTAGGCTGGAAGATTTTTGCCTGAACCTACAAGGGAAGGAATTCCGGCCTAGCTGAGCCCACTCGTTTGTGTAAAAGTGACTATTAACCCATTGCGTACCGCGTGCTGCACATGGTGAAGCACTCTTAGTGTGAACTCATTTAGCATTGTTAGATGACTGGAAAGAGTCGGTATATTCCTGAAGTCGTCTGGGACAAAATATGTGTGGGGGAAATTGCGAGATTGAATAATAGCTAAGTTGCTGGCATTTTTCGAGTAATACCTCAACTATTACATTTTTTAATTAACTCTCCTTTACCAATAAAACCGAAATCCTGCTTAGTACACGACTGAAAAATTGTAAAATGGTGTGAGTGAACAGCTTCTAAGCACACTGCGTCACTTTTTTAACTCCTCTTAATTTTATCAAGCTTTTTTGGCTAGTTTCGCATTTTTTTGCTTTACACTTTTATCACGTAACAATATTGAATCCCCTTTAGCATACGTATACTTATAAAAGTGATGCATAATACGATGTGTGTGCAATATTTTTATGTTATATGTATAAGATAAAAATCTTATGTTTTTATACTCAGCGCGCCAGAAATCGCGTCGCGCAAATACACTGCGGTACGCAGTGGGTTAAATGCGATATCCGCGATCAGGTATAGAGCTTAAAAATACTGCGCCGGGTGGACAGTGCGGTCCGCGACGAACAACCCTGTATCGGTTTCACGGCAAAAAAGTGTAAGGGAGGGAGGGGCGAAGTTTCAGTGACGCCTCCTTTTTACTGACTCCGCCTCTAGACTCCGCCTCCAAGGCTGGCTGTCCAGTGAAAAACGAGGCTGCAGGAACAAAAAGCATGAAAATTGAAATCGAGGAATCAGCTGTGCGGATGAAGGCGTAATGTTGGAGATGGAGTTAATTGGGCACGTAGAAATTGGGATCGGAATGGGGTTCTATTGTGGACATTGGGCATGTTTCGTTCTGCTTTTTTTCTCACTATCGGCTTACTCTGAGCCTTGTCGGCGATATGCAGAGCCCGGATTCACTATCTGTGATGGCAAATGATATCGCGGTCTTTACCTTTGAATACACTGGATGTCCGCAGAATCGAAAGAAGAATCTTCTCCAATAGCTCCCTACCAGGTCGTAGCAAATCATTCGAGCGGTTTCCTCACAATAAAATCATATGAGACAATCACCTCACCAATTCACCTAACCTTCCTACTCAAAGTCTGTGCGTTTCCCGCTTCAAATATGAGGAGACCATCTGTGTGGCATTTCAAACACAGTCCCGGCGAATCTCGTTTGATTTGTTCTAATTTGGCTGCTAGTTTCGCGCTTCAAGCATCTCGGGAACCATCTGTGGCCGGTGTCTAACACTATCTCACGAGGACGAAGGAGAAGGGCAGATGAGTCATCGCTCGTCGGAACCGCATGGGCTCTCCAAGTACGTTAGCACCCTAACCTGATGGTACCTACCCTGTCCCTCCTTTGCAATTTCGACCGAAGAAACACTATGGTTTCCCTCGCTTTACTGAGTTCAACCTCTACTGAACTTTCCTTACTCATTTTTCGCCGCTTATCCTTTGTTGGTGTTTTACTCGTGGTTCCCTGAAGAGAAAAAAATGGTAATCTAATAGCTCTGATAGTGAGTTATACAGCGATCTTTCAAACTATACTGCTATATAGAAAGGGTGATAACCTCCGTGGCATCCATAGCTCTCTCTACTGACTTTGTTCTTTCTACCTGGAATCAGTGTTATCAGTGTCCGCTCCCAGTTGCCAGAGAATTTTCCGCTGCAGACGATGGGCTTATCATGGAGGCTGGGTTTGAAGCAGGTGCCACCTCCCTTTTACCCCCAGTTGTTGTCGCCTTTGCGCTGCAGCACTTGATGGGGAACGGGTTGGTGCCTCCCAAATCACGCCGCAGCGTCTGCAGCAACCGGAAAAAGCGATCCCATTTTTAATCCTCTCATTTTTCCTTACTTAATGGGTTTTCCTTCTAGTGTGGATTATTGCTTTTAAATCGTTAGAGACTAACTGCATCACCTCCTTGGATCCTGATCCTTGCCGTGTAGGCGGAAAATGGGTTCCCAGCTGCAGTAGAGTGCCGCGTTTCCGCTCATAAGTGCACGGGAACAGAGCTTGAAGGTAGTGATACCCGGGCAATATTAATACTCGCCCGCGCTGCCGCACCGCCATCCTCACGCTTGACCAATACCAAACGTGCTACTTGTCTGCCACCTCTGATTCCGGCTGCTCTCTACAGTTGAGTACGAGTTTCACTGCGCAACCTCTACGTGCGTCAACTTCCGTCTACACGTCTACATCTACGCAAGTGCTGCACCCTGGGATAGCGCGCGCGGAGTATGGAGACCGCACTGGGGGTGCCACTACCCTACAGCCCACTTCCCGTGCACTTTTGAACGGAGTGGCAGACTGTTGCTGCTGTGGACCCTTTCGCCTCGTCCATGACAAGGAGCTGAGTGTACAGTCTGTCGTCAAGATCATAAGTTTGACGTTACCTGTGGATCTTTCATTTCACCTGAGAAAATCATGGACCCTACTGCACAATATACTGTGGAATGTCATACCGTTGATGCCGAGCGACTCGCTTCTTCCTGCAACAGTTATTACAAACGCGTCTCTAATTAAGCGCAGTTCTGCTTGGGTTCATAATTTACTTGGCAAATGAAGCATACGTGGCACAAGGAACGGTCGTCCAATTGTGGGCGCGCGGGTGTGGTGGGTGCTCGGGTCGGTATGTTGTAGACTGGCAGGGCCCTTATAAGTGTAAATTATGGAAAAGGCGCCACGCAGCGCCTTCAGGGTCGCAGAATTCCGTCCTGCCAGGTGTATTATTCCTGTTCGGTTTTAGGAATTTATCGTGCAAACTGCCTTTAAGTAACTTCTGTCGACCAGT